AACTCCGGACCGCAGGCGTCTGCGGTGGGGAACAAACGCGCTATTGTCCTTTCCGGGGAGTAACGTGTTCACCACCACACCATGCGGGTCCTTCGTTTCGCCCGTCTCTCAGCTAATTTTACCGATCAGTGCCGTCAGCAATCACCCGTCAACGGGATTGATCTGGGGAGCCCACATCGGCATTGAACCTAGTTAAGCTGAGGCTGTAGTTGAATTCACAATGTTTTACTTTTTATTACTGTTCAATAGAACTAGCTGAGAGATAGGCGAAACGAAGGATCGCATGATGTGATGGTGAACGCGTTACCCCCCGGAAAGGACAATAGCGCATTCGTTCCCTACCGCAGACACCTGCGGTCCGGAGTTATGCAATTATCTCAGCAATAACTATTGGATTGAAGAAGAACAGACACGAGATTCCACAAAATTGTCCACAATCTCAACGGGCAACGAACAACTGACGAAAATATGCTGTTGTTTCAAACAGTTCTTACAAAGTGTTCTAGAACGTTCTATAGCATGATGCGGTAGTGGTTTTTGTCCAAATAGACGGTCATTTTGAATATTCTATCAAGTTTAAGATTAACGAAAAATTTTTGACAAAGGATGTTTTCCAACAATAACTAGCTGCCCAACAAAAAATACTGATCTTATTGAGCTGATGCGAGCTTGGTACAAGTTGTCGTTGTTCCTGTTGGTGTTGTTGGTCGATGGTTCCTGTTGGTGTTGTTGGTCGATGGCTCCTGTTGGTGTTGTTGGTCGATGCCTGACGTTTCGGCAATTTCGCCCTCCTGACAGCCGTGCTGATGGGAGTGAACGAGAAGTCCAACTTATACCAACCTCGCATCAGCTCAACGAGGTCAATTCATACGAACATACAAATAAATACATCGATTATTTATGCCGAGGTTCATAGAAAAGTTTTTTCAACTATTTAAAAGGTAACAAACCAATATCTTATCAATTAATCTCTTTAGTAGATAATATGTTGACGAAAAATTGATTGTAAGGAACTACCCCTTCCATATTTCAAAACCGACTTCTCTTTAATCGGTATGACTAATCAATATGTGTTCTTTGTTTGATAAGCTTACACGAGGTTGACATATATTTATTCAGCAAACGTTTCGAAGTCTTCGTCATCATCAGAGCCGACGATCCGAGTCGATAATCAACCACGGTTGTTCTTCGTCTCGTTGTGGCGCCTTCGCTTTCGTATCGAGTTGCGTCTTCCTCAGTGGACCATCAGTCGAATGAGGCACACTCACTCGGTGATACCACTTTATGCACGATGCTAATGGTTGATAGTTGTGGTTGTCCGGTGTTAGTAACCTCTTTTCCCGGACAATCAATCCTGCAGAGGTCGGTAGCATTAGCAAAGAGCAATAACAATACTTCAAAACCGACTTTTCTTTCCTTTAAGGACCGATTGTCGAAGACATTGATTGAATTTACAAACGCGAAGACGTCACATCGGGACGAAGAAGAACCGTGGGCTATCGACTCGTATAGTCTGCTCTGATGAAGACAAAGACGTCGAGACGTTAGCCGAATAAAGGTGTTTATCAACCTCATGTAAGCTTTATCAAAGAGAGAATACATGTTTTCACTATTTACCATGCCTCGAGTTCATAAAGTCCTACATAAATCCTGGTTCGGTAAATTGCTGTCAGATTTGCTTGGAACGATAGCAGCATTAACTTTATTCACCTGTATGATATCGCATGTCGCATAGCGCAGATAAGCATTTACTCACGTCTATTATCCTATGAATGGAGTCGAATTCATGGTGCCTCTTTAAGGGAATAATGAACTCTGAGCGCGTTATCCTTTACGCTTTTCACACCTCGAGAATTCTTTGAGTTAAAGACAGTGTTTCATAGGCACCAGACATCATAACAACTTTGAAAAACCATGATGTATACAGATCAGTCTAGTCTTGCGCTGAATGCACAACTTTGAGTGTACTAAGTGTAGAGATAAACCGATGCCTAAGAAGGGCAGATATAGAGGAATCGGTAGCGATAATTGAAATACCACCGAATACTATTCGTCGTCAATTAGTTCGTAACCGCCTATACGAACGTCTAAGTGAAGCACAGAATTGCGTAAGTTGCACTTACCGCAGAGCCAGTGATTGCATGAGTTCAGGTACGATATACCTGATCTCTTGTAATACTTGCGGAGACGAATATATTGGCGAAACGGGCAGGCCTTTATGTATCCGCATAAAAAGCACCTAGATGGCAAACGAAAAGCAGGACAAGGTACCCCACTAGGGACGCATAGGATACAAAAGCATAGCGGGGACGATTTTGATATAAAAGTCGCTATCCTCTCACGAGATCCCAAAGCACCAACGCGCAAACTCCTCGAGGTTTTTTGGATAAATGTCAAAAATCCTACAATGAACAGCAGGAAGGAATGTCACGAGATCACACGTAATCTGGCCCCTTCCTTTCGCATCGATCATTGATGTGGGGAGGTGCAGTAGTGACCATTATGCGACGCTGATCAGCGGCTCTTAGTAAATTCTAAATTAATCACTGTACCTTTCCAGGCTCTGAAGAAGGCGATTCAGCCGAAACGTCAGCTACGATTGTGTTGTATGTGTGTTGTTGTATGGAAGTAAACGTATGCTGGTTAACAACATCGCGATTGCTGAGAGAGAAAACGATGAATTTATAATCCAATGCCGAGGTTAATAGAAGGTCGATCCTGTAAACTTTTGAGTGTTTGAAGTTCTATACAAGAAATCTGCCAGATAATGCGTAATTGTGCTTAACATTCTGCTTTTGGGGTACCCCATCAAGGCTATCCAAGCCCAAAAGTATTGGACAGTCACGATTTTACGGAAAAGCGCTATCATGTGAAAGGCAGATGTTAGCAGAAGCCCTGCGAGATAATTTTAGAGGACGTGTAGTGTCTCTAATAAAGACTGAAACAGAGAAGCTTTCAAAGCGAGAAGAAATGATTCTATTAAAATGTAGAATAACGATTTTGACGCTGAACATTTGCAGTGGCCTTGAACTCCTCGTGGTTCACTGCACTTCTACTTCTTGGTTCGTTGGTTTTATTATCAAATCAACTAGTTTCATAGAGACTATTTCTCTGTGAATGCAGATATAATGTTGAGGGCCAATATAGGGAACGGAAGAGACGACAACATCAGATTTACCAGACAAGGTATGAGGCTTCGCCTAACGTGATTACTGATCGGGCTATAAAATTAATAAAAAAATATTAATATGTCGTTTTCTTGTTCAGCAATCGCGAGGTATGCTGTTTAAAAACCTCGCGATTGCTGAACAAGAAAACGACACATTCATATTCCAATGCCGAGGCTAAGAGAAAGTCGATCCTGGGAACTATTACAAGATGTACCAAAAAAATATTAATAAATCTGTCAATAAAATAGACTAATAACCGATCATATCTCCATCTTTTATCTAAAATTTACAGCCTATTTTCCAGCTACTGCTCTTGAAATCAGTAATTCTGTGAGCTTTACAATAAATAAGCACTGAATATTGTTCAAACGCACAAAAACTACGGAACATATACCAGTTGAGCCTTCTCAGTAACAATTTCTGTGTCGGATTGATTGCATTGCTACCAAATTTATTGGATTGGTCCTTACATCAAAACCCTTTGATCTTTGTCTCTTAGAAGGACAAAGTCCCCAGGAAACTGTGGATTTTGCTACCTGGCAACTAAGTATAAACGTTTAAAAACGTTTCATTTGCGCACACACCTCCATTTTACTTTAACACTAAAGTCTATACTTTTTTTTAATCTTGATTTTTTACTTATTAAGTGATATCTGTAGGAGACATAAAACTGTTTCAGTTTTTACTAAACAAACTATTATCAACAGGTAATCATATTAACAGCACCGCCCTGTATAAAGACCATGCGGTATGGTGGTGAACGCGTTACTCATCGAAAAGGACGATACCGCGTTCGTTTCCCACCGCAGACACCTGCGGTCCGGTGTTTTGCAAATATCTCAGCATTATAGCTGTTATATTTCGCAACATACCCTGCCGTTAAAAAAAAATAGGCAGTAAATAAAAAGGCTAAGATACATGTAACTGTCTGTATTCACATTCTCAACATGTTCTTATGAAACGAAACAAAAGATGTGGACGAAATTCCCTCATAACTAATTCGTTGCGAAGGTCAACCACTCCTTTTGTGATCAAATAATAGAATCTTCATCTTCTGTGTGAACCTATCCTTTGACATAAGTTTACATAGAAGAGAAAAACAGAAAGTCTTTATTACAATGAATAATGTATAATTAACGCTTTATTATCATTTAGTAATATAATTTACACTTCGAGTAAAAAAAACTTACTCTATAGATCTATCGCATTAGAAACTCTCTTCTCCTATTTCTCTCAGTAGTATGGACTCGTTCAGTATTGAACATATGATTAAACAATCAATCAATCAGTATAATAGAATGTATCAACAAATTCAAATGGACAATGTGCAACCTATTCAAATCCACTCAATCACTTGTAATGGACGAGTAACACAAGATGTGGTGTAACCACATGAAATATATCGAATTGGCTACGACATACGGAAATCGATGCAATATCGATCGATCAGCGGTGCCAATCGATATATGGAACATTGATTCTGAAAATGGAACAAAAACGAGGCAAACCATAATGGAAGTGATCTCTATGTGTACCTGGAAACGCGATCTGACGCGCTAGAAAAGCAACCGTTATTGTGAAATTTAAGTTGGGGTGCTTCTTGAAAATATCAAGAAATTGTTTCCAGGCTAACCTTTAAGCATACTTGTGGTCGAATTCTCTCATTGGGCGATAATACAATCTACGATTACAATAAATCCACTAGTGATATTGCCAAAGAGAGAAAAAAATGTGGCGCTCTGAGAAAACCACTCCAGAAATAAATGTGTATACAACAATAAAAAATAAAATCATGAGAAACTTGGAAGACATAAACTGAATTCGCCCGCTATGCAACGCACAAACCAATGGAAATTACGTCGCGAGCGGCAGTGCTCGGTGTTGCCAAAGATGGAACTTGCCGACATGTCACCACATCATAGTGGGGCAAACCGACCAGACCAAGAAAAACGAATACAACAGAGCAGAGAGCAGGATGATGTGGAGATGGCTATAAAATGGGCGTACACACAGAGCATGGATGAGCTGAAGATGAGGGACATAGCTTAAGTGATCTCCTATTTGTGCTTAGAGGCGGGCGTCGAGCAAGTGGATGACGATGTTGGCGTCTGGAACAGGTCAGGTCGTCGTTGGTGCTCGATAACACCTGGGCCACCCAACGGCGGTTGCCAAACCTCGTAACCAAGCTTTATCAGCTCGCTACTGATCATGTCCAATAACGTTTGCGGCGTGTCTGAATACATAACTTCATAAATATTTTAGAAAAAGCGATATGTTTCTTTTCGTTAGTTACTTCTTTTCAAGAATGTAACGCTTTCATGTAACCGAATCGGTAACACGAAATATCGGCGAACTACACCTACATCCTCTTCCTTTTTTGTATTTCCTTTTCTCTCCTCTTTAAATATGCACTTGCTGAGAAATCCCATCTACGTTCATTGTTCAGTCACATAAAGCTCGTTCACTGACCTGGTTTTAGAAATGCAAACACAGAACCGCCACCACCAGCGCCAGTCATCTTCGGATGGATACCATATCTGGCGAGGGTGGTACAAATCTGATCGATTTTCGGATGGCCAACACCCAATCCTATGAGCAGTTGATTGTTTATTCGACACAGATCCTGAACAAAAAGAAATGGAGCTTTATGAAAAAAAACTGTTAGAAACATGTTATTCTGCATCGAAGCCACACATCATACCCATAGAACACAAACACAATTCAAAGCGTACTGCCTGCCTGATGATCAGTTCCAGAGAAAGACCAGTTACGATTTTTTTTCAATAGACACTCTTCAGTTCTTGAATATGACAACAGCAGCTTGTCTTTGAAAATTTCTTAGGAAACACAGTGTGAGGCACAGCGAAAAGAATTGTCCGCATTCCGGCAAAGCATAGTTAAGCCTACGCCATTACGACCAGCTACGCACTCCGGGTTCATAGCGACGTTAATTTCAGGAGACAAATCGAGAAACTATATCATCACAACGAAATATTAAAGCTTGACGGCAAAAACAACGTTGCATATGGAATACACACTTACGTTAAGCTTACTGAACGTGTCGACGAGTTCCCCCTTTTCCGACGTCGCTGAAACGGCAGATACTGAGCTACCACGTTTGCCACCAGCCACGTATGAGGAGAACGTTGACGAGCGCACGCTACCGCCACGAGTCGGCTGAAAACACGAAACAAACAAACATCACAACACAACAAACGTAAAGCACAATGTCTTATTGAAGATAAAGAGAAATAGAAAGAGAGACAGAAATCAGGCAAATCAGGCAGAGAGGGATATGAGGGAGAGCGAGTAAATGAGAGAGAACGACGGAGAAATTAGCTTAGTAATAAAGGTGCCTGGATCGCAAATGTTCAACTGTCATTATCTGTATAGATATAACGGCATCTGACGAAATTTTTTGAGTAAAGATATATGAAAGAATAAGTGCTGGGATAAGCACAGTAGACGTGTAGACGGGTCTTCTAAATAGAATAAAAGGACCTTTTTCTAAAGTCATTCGCATTAGTTGGAAGAAAGTGTAGGCGTTAGACTTTACCTAGTTACATCTAGCAGTTAACCTTCAGATGTAGCTCGAATAAGAGAAATTCACAACGAAATTCTTGCTTCAACTGTTTAATTTTGGACAAAAACTGAGGAAGCATTAAGCGTAAAGTGTCAGTGTTCCTTTAAAAAAAAACTGCGAAAAGACTTCTATATGAGCATTGGAATGGATACCATACAAAAAAGGAAGGATGTTGTTCAAACACCCGAAAGCGTAAGCTTAACGACGAGGACGATAAAACAGCAAGAAATTATCAGGGTCAGACGATACCTGGAGTGAGTGGTGATCGTTATCTGAAACGGACGTTCCGTGTCCGCCATTTTCCAACTTATCCAACGCTTCCCCATTCTCCTCTGGCGGTCGATGCAAAATCTTTGCAGCCTCTCGCGAGATTGCATCAATCGACGTAAAGATTCCTTCTACCACTTCAGGGAACTGGAACAAGATGCTCCTCATATTACTATGATCGCGTGGTACGATCATATACATCTAAGTCATTGTAAGGCTACATTTTTTCCTAAATAAGGAAATAAGGACAAAGATCGTCATTTTAAACAAACTTATGAAGATGTCTCGCTATATTTACGCCCCATTATAAATGTGCTTAAGCAGTGAATGTGGATTTGATTAGTATAGTGATTTGCAAAGGCAAAATATGGCCTCTTCCATCCTTCAAAGACAAGTACGCCAAAAGCCACAGGCTTTTGAACGGCATGCCCTGTGAGTACTGAGCGAACTGGCTACCGAAAATCAGTTTATCTCTTACATATTGTCATACAAAGTACGCCAATATTTCTTCCAAAAATGAGTCCCCTATGCTTCTATGAGATTTGAATGGAGCGATTCATAGAAGAGTTAGTTTTAACACCACGGGCACTATGAAAGCACTTAAGGGTTATAGGACTCATTGTGCAAAGTCCACAACGAACGAGACAGAAAGTAACTAGTATCTCATAGAAACTGCTACATTTGCTAGTGTCTCATTCATTTAATCCAATGGAAATAGAAAGTTTTCAGCCAATAATACTGAAAGAGCCACATATGGCAAACTAACAGAACACTTCACTACTTATTCAGAGCTTAAAAACAGAAGAACAATGGACGAGCAGATTACCTTTTTCAGCCTTTCTTTAACTGTTTGCACCATCCGTGATGTATTCCTCTCAACTTTTGAGTTCACCAAAATCACACGAAGGTCAGGAAGACTGAAAGGTAAACGGGAATTCCCAAACGATTTTGTTAATAATGAACACCAATTATGGCCGCGGAATGAAGGCGACAGAAAAGAATGAAGCTCTGGACGCTGATTAATTTCCGAGAAATGAGTCATGCATTCGACTTCATTAAGCATCGTTAAAAGTGACTGAATGCATATCTGGAATTTATAAGGAGTCGCATTGGCCTAGCGATGAATCAAGCCAGTGGTGCTATACTCCCAGACAAATCTGGTACCAATTTGTCAACCCTGAATGGATGGAAAGCTCGGTGGGCCTGAGGCGCGGGATCGGTCCCATGTGTACTGGAGCGCGACTCCGAACTCACGTTGCGCTATACGCGCCCCGAAGTTGAAATATTATTAGTTATAGTAAAACTGGGGCACGTGTGGAGCAGTGGTCGGAAGCGCCCTGCGAAACACACATGGGATCGATGCCTGTGCCCGTGGCTCACCATGCCCTCCATCCTCCGGGGTCGGCAGATTGTGTACCAGAATTGTCTACGAGAATACCAGCACTGGCTCGATGCATCGGTAGGCCGGTAGGCCACCATGTAAAGGCCAGATATGCATTCACTCACCTCTATCGATGCCTAATGAAGTCGAATGCATGGCGCATCCCTTAGGGATTGATCAACGCCGAGAACTTCATCCTTTTTTCTTAGTGAAACAAAAAAACATAAGGTATAAAAGAAGGCAAAACTATGAAAAAAACCATCTAACCAAAAGATCCAAACAACCTACTTTCTCAAATGCTGAATTCGTGTGCCTGGTTTGAAACTTGCCACGCCCCCTAAATAAAGTGGCTTCATCCAGATGAAATTGTGAAGAAACTTAGTGGGGAGTAACAGCTTACACCACATAACAGCTGTATGGAAAAAACAGTACACCTCTCCTCATACTTTTTCACGAAGTTAACATTGTTTTTCTTCTTTAACCGGAAAGGATTAAAAACCCCTCAGCCTTTTAATAGATCGCCGCGTGAACGTAGACAGATTACCAAGATATGTGCTAACGTAGTTTGACAAGGCGGCTAGAAATCATGATGATTGAACGACTATCACATCGACCACAGTAGAAGTCGTTCTAATGATTGTTCTAGAACTCTACCGAACAGTATGAAAAGAGGAGTGACATGCATCTCTAATGCACGCACACAAAAAACGAAAGAAGAAACAAAAGCAAAACAATTCCTAAGTAGGGTAAAACCAAGTCAAGCCATAACATTGTTAGCGATCAGTACTAAGGAAAAAACTGTAAAAAGAAAAGGAAAACATAGGAATAAGAAGTGTTGTAAGCCCAACACAGTTTTTCTATACATCATTCTTCAACCACACTCTGATACACTATTCGCAAACCAGCACCAAACCAGCATGCTCAGACGCCTGCCTAAGTGGGAGCAATCAGAGGCGTACTTATGACATCGCTAACTTTTCACCACATATGATGTAGACGTTGCACGACCACCTACATCACCACTGTTTTCTGGTGCATCAAGTGTGTCCCACATTAGGTTTTGAATTTTCGCTTTTCTCCGAAATTCAATGAGTGTTGAAGGCGATCGAACACTTGCGAGTGAACTGATCTGTCAACTCGCCACTATCGAACACTCTTCACCACCAGATGGTGATCGTTAGCTGGTATCAGAAACACACCTTCATCTTTTACTATAACAAATTTCCAGCATCTACGATAGAATGAGTTTAGTGACAATATTCAATTACCATAACATCCTACATATCCCAGGTGCGTAAAGCTCTGGTAGCCGTAATTCCGTATGCCTAAAATCTCCGATCACAAAAAATCCACAATCTGTCCAGCATACCATAAAGAATACGATATTTAGTATCTATTACAATTTTTTTAAATAAAAGCAACAATATGCCGATCACAACTTCAAAAGCTCTTTAAGATCTCCATTTAGGAGTCTTCGTGGATGCAGACTAATAATGGTTGACGACATACGTACAAAGTCAACACAATATTGATATCATGTTCCTTACCTGCATATCAGAGTACGTTTCTCTATGGGCATCGAAATTTAGTCTTTTCAAACTACCAAGGTAATAAATTTATATAAGAACATCCAGAAAGAGGTGGAAATAAAGCACCTACTGTTTATGGTAGAAGAGTTTTTCCAGAATAAAGTTTGAGACCGTAGTCTGCTATATCCATAAAACAGAAATGTAGAACGTTTTACGCACATCAAAGCAATGTCAAATCATAACACGAGAGCACAACCGAACATATTATGGAGGCGAACCACACTGCCTGAACTCGAGCCTCAGCACATGCTTTGGATAGTTGGACTAGCCGCCTACGAAAACGAACGAAGCGATCCTTTAGTGTTTTTCAGGACTGAAGACATGATGAAGAATGAGACTGGTTGAGGTGAACTGTTTAATCCATTTACTTTAGACGACGAAAAGAACGAATTGAGAGCAAGATCATGATCGTTTAAAGGTGTTCAACACTTTTTAGACTGCATGAATTATTGAGATCAGAAATAATGATAATATGAAATAGATAGATCTACATACCGTATGTGCATACAGCAGCGTCCAAACCCGACGCACGCCCGTGGATCAGAGACTCGGCCGCAGTTGCCCATTTCCGAATCATATCCAGATGCTGATCCTCCCATGTTAAACTACCGTCTTCGTCAGTCTGTGAAGATTTCACATGGTAATAAGAGGTGGTATTAAGGAAATCAATGAATTTCGAAAATGAACACTCACTACAATTGACGGAGACGGTATGAGGCCGGTGGTTTGTAGAAGAGCGGTAGCAATACAGACACAGTAGGCACCTTAAAAATGCTATCTATACTTTAGTGAATCAAACACTGATGCTACCTGCAATTTCGTCACCGTATTAAGAAAAAGCAAAGTCGTCCAATTATTCAGACGAAAGAACTAAGAACCCACCCGATGAACCGAGTCCCACGCAACTTGGCAACTTGAAGCGAACTGTGGCTTTGACAGCGAGTATATCCCTAAAAATTCACCTGAGAAGAAAATATTGTCCTCAAATATGAAAAAATCAAAAGGCTTTCTACATAATTGTAGTGGTAATTCAAGAATGACGTGGATGATAACAGAGTAAATTAGCTACTAAAGCAAATGTACTTATTGACTTAGTAAAAAAAAGGATAAAATAATAAAAGATGAAGCTCTTGACGTTGATCTACTTCTTAGGGATTCTCCAATCATTCGACTTCATTGCATATCTGGCCTTTACAATGATTCGCGGTGGCCTACTGATGTATTGAGCCAGTGCTGCTATCCTCCGAGACAAGTCTGGTACCAATTTGCCGACACCGGAGCGATAGAGGGGTTGGTGGGTCATAGGCGCAGGGATCGATCCTATGTGCGTGTCGCAGCGCGCCTTCGATCATTGCGCCACATGCGCACAAAACAATAATTTTATGAGCGGTAAAGAAAAAGTTTAAACCATAACTGAAACAAATATAGAGAAAAAATAATTCAGCTGAAGGCTTTATGAGCTCCATTCAGCTGGTTTCCTACCATAATTTTTCATCAAAAGCAGAAATAACGGCTAGTTTTAAAAATTACACCTAAACGCACTGCCATGACATGAACGAAATTCCCGGTGGTAGTGAAATCATTAATAGCACTAAAATCCGCATTTATGAAAAGGCAAAATAAAACACGAAGACTCAAACTGGAAAAAAACAAACAGACAAACAAAATTCAATGAAAATTCCAGAAATTAAGAAATATCGTCCTTTTCGATGCCTACAAAAACGCTACTAGTTTCCCTTCGGAATATAGGTCCCAGAAGCGAAGATTGCTCCTAAGTGATGTTAGCAGTGCTACTTACTGTTTAATAGCGAGTTCTTCAATGAAGCTGAACATACCACTACAGTGTATAATATACGGTAATAAAGTGCTATATATGGAGCAGTATTTCTTTTTCAGCCTTTTCTTTCATCCTATCATTTTTAACCCTTTTTTGTCGAGCGTTATGGGTGAACTGCTAGCCAAAAACTAGTAACAAATACAAGAGCCGGCTGGAATAAAAAAAACTTGTGGAACAAAGACTAATCAGTAAAAATGTGTAGATTCCAATGGTTTCTACGAAGATCAGTAAAGTTTGATGTAAGCAAAGATTTAGTAACGCTACAGATCGATCTCTATAGCAGTTACCGACTTTAAGACCACAACAAGAACATACTAACTAAAGCAATCGGAAAAATGCGTGGGTAATTACTCCAGTTACCAGTTAGTGTCACATCTATTAACTACTTAGATACAGGTTGATAAAGATGTTTATTCGGCAAACGCTTCGTCTTCGTCTTCCTCAAAGCCGATGATCAGACATCAACGTAACAATATATTACCTGGTCTAAAAAATGACCCGCTGTGGCCTACCGATGCATCCAGTCAGTGCTGCTATTCTCCCAGAAAAATATGGTACCAATTTGCCGACCTCCAAAGTATGGAAGGATTGGTGAGCCTGCGGCGCGGGGATTGATCACATGTGTATTGCGGGGACCCTCTGATCACTGCATCACACGAGCACTTTCTAGCTTTTTTGTTTAGTTAATCCAAAAAAAATCCAATACGGTATTGACTATTAATCTCAAGGTTAGGTGAAGGTCGGTTTGAAAAAATATTGTTTTGTTGTTCACTACATGCTAGCTAACATAATACCGATGGCTGGGGATGTTGACATGACATACGTTGAAAAACAAATGTTTATCAACGGAGAGTCGAATCAACAACAACAACCCTGTACAAAGGAGCGCTGTTGGGTGAGATTGCCTCATTCGAGCGGTGCTCGAAAAGGCCCGACTCGATAAAACGACGAAATCACCACATCGAAAAGAAGAATCATCGGCTCTGAGGAAGACGAAGACGTCGAAACTCTAGCCGAATAAACATCTTTATCAGCCTCGTGTCAGTTTAACAATCCAAAAAGGGTTCTGATTAAATGACGGTAGTGTAAATTTTTAAAATCCAAAAGAAGATTTTGGTAAAAATTTTCACTAACCGATTGTAACCTAAACAAACTATAGATTACGTTGATTAATCACAATGAGGTTAAATGAAAGTCGGTTTAGTAGAGCGAAACTGCCTAAATCTGTAACAATTCAATAGCCTATACACCTATAATTGTAGTAAAACCTCAAGAGCATTTGGAAGAGAATCAAAAAGAAAATCTGAGTGAAATGTAAATCAAGTAGAGAGTAACATGGGAAACCGACATCCATAGGCAATTTTTAAGTGTTTTCATAGAAGGGATTTCTGCTGAGTAGTCGTTCCCGAGGTAGTACTCCATATTTGTGACGTAATGTGTCATCACGAACAGTATAGAAGTGGGAACAACTTACGACGAGGTATAGGTGTCTCGTGTAGCCGATTTTTCTTCAAGCAGAACGTTCCGATGTGCGTAGAAACTGAACCAACACAACACCCAATAAGTGCTTCGAATAACAGCAGGTGAAAGAAGAAAAACCGAAGCGAAATTTATGATGCAAACATATTAATAACTTAATATTGTATTAGAACACCAACGGTTTTAGCATACGAAACTACTATTTTCTGATCTCTAAGCAACCTGTAATTTCACTCAATAATAGTGTAGCGCTTGACCCCAGTAATTCGTCTAAGTGCGTCCTTCTGTGGCTACACTATGATTCTCAGGTAAAAGTGCTACGACGGTGGATTGCTGCCCATGAAACGTAAAGAGGACAGGAGAAGATTTGTAAATGGAAGAAACTTACAAAAGTTGATAGGTAGGCAGAAGCAAAATCTCAAGCAGAAAAATCTTTACTGTGAGAATATTCACACCTTTTCCTGTGTGCAACACCGAGAAGTAGATACCAAAAGGCAAGGATAGCCAAATGTTGTACGCCACATTGGTCTTCACAAGATCCTGATAACTTCCGAGCGATGGGTACAAGAAGTTCTAGGGAAGGTGGCTGATCTTCTTCGACTGGATGCTCAGCTGAAAGCAACTGTCTCAGAATGTCTAATCGTAGTTAACGTCGAAAACACTTACCAGCAAGCCGATCGGCGGCTTTCAAGAGGTCCTTGAGGAGCCAGGTCTTCTCGACGCTCAGATCAGGTAAACTCAAATAGATCCGACCGTCGGCCGATGTAAAGAGACTGACGTATGTACGCAGGTCTATGGAGCCAGCGATCGCCGTCTAATATCAATAAGATAACCTGTGCCAGTGAAGTATGCTACGATGAACACCTAATCCCATATCATTCTAGCTCTAGTGGTCTCCCATCTGGCTCCACAACACAATTAAGGACGGCTAACAATTTCTACAGATTGCAACATAAGCTGACTCACTGATTTAATCAATGTTTAAATATTCGAAAGCCTTACTCGTCCGTAAACGACAGCATGTTCGCCGAACAAGATGATTTTGCCCGGAGCGGAGAGGTACAAACCGCCGTGTGCGCTGCTCAAATTCCGCATCGGACTGACGTGATTCGACGCTCTTGAGCAACTACCGCCTGGCGAGTCCAACACTAAAGTGACAATGATCAGTGCAATAAATCTATAAGCACACAGATTAAGTTTCCAGAAATTGAAGAATATATGCCTTCAGCAATTTATATATTTATAGAACTCTTCTATTCCAAAAAATTTCACCGGTTCTCTTTACTATACACGCTATACATGATTTACAAAGAAATTCAAAATCCACATACTAATCCTTTATTACCGGAACGATATTTAGAAAATGAACTGCTAAGAATAAATATTAACAGCCATGATGTCTTCCCGTAACAAATTATATAAGTTCCGTAGACGAAATAAATCGTTAACTTCTTTACCTACTGCCAATCCTTTATTACAAATTTTCATGGCAGGGTATTACGTGCGATACAACCACAACGATGCTGAGATATTTGCAAAACTCCGGACCACACTTGTCTGCGGTGGGGAACGAACGCGTTATTACCCTTTTCGGGAGCTAACGCGTTCATTTCCGCACCATGCGGATCATTCTTTTAAACGGTGGCGTGACGAACGAACCATCCTCGCATCAGCTCAACAAGATCAGTTTATAAGATCATACAAATAGCGGTCTTTCGGATTTTCAAGATTGTTTATTACTTGAATGATTTTCCAAACTTAAATTCCACTATGAAAATTACATTGGACAAAAGTAATATAAACGCTTAGAGTAATATGACAGCCTCTTGTAAATTCAATCCTCAATTTATAAAGAACTCCAGTTATCGTGAAATAATCAGCACTTATCTAAAAACAAATGCAGTCGTGACTAAGACAGCAAGTTTAAGAAAATCAGATACTTTCATATGATTTAAGAAACCAATGTGTTAGCGGATTTTGATGGCAAAAATGTTCTACTTTTATGGCTACAATATTGGCGACATAGGAAAGCGCTATCGGCCAGCTTCCTATCGATTCTATGTAAAATATGTCAAAACACCCACGTAATACATCACTTAAGAAAAGTTCATTTTTAAATGGAGCAGAATGAGGCACTGACGTTTTGTACAGGATCAACTACATTACCTATTCCTAACGACCACCAGCGGACCGCCAATTCGCCAGCTCTCAGACGGTAATGTTAATTTCATGGGAATACAATTTTCGTCCGGAATCCCTGTGAAAAGGTCCGACTTTCAAGCTGATAGTTGTCTCCTTGTGCTCTTGACATCCCCTGCGACGGTCCCCCACGGTGCTTGTTTAACTATTGTTGTTGTTGAATTTATCCGACTAAGCAAATCTTTGAAATATTCTTAAAAAATAAAAAAGTCGTTTAGCTGTCAGTCGTCGAAACTCTCCCCTATTTTCTGGAAACTCTATTGGGTCCAATCTCCCCACGACATTCCCCAGAGGATAAATAAATTTCGCAGGATGGTATTGGCTTGCCGAACCAAATTCTTCACGATGACCACAACGTCGTTGTAGAATGATGAAATTCATTGTGTGGTCGTTATATGGTTCATGAACAATCTTTGAACACCAGCAAAGATACCTTAGCTCCAAGTTTGCTCTACTGCACTACCGTTTTGGTCACAAATTAGTCGAAATTCCCAACCTGGTGAAGGTGAAATAGGACACTAAATTATCTTGCATTCTGGTGATACTTCATTGACATTTTCAATATCGGGTGGGTATGATCCACCATGCTAAACCCTGTCCGAGAGTCTGCTTGCTTGAACAGATAGCCTCGCACTGTTAGATTTACCGATGCTGGAGTAAAAAGCTACCATACAACAGGATTTGGCTTAGTATTTAGGATTGTTCGGCTTAAGAGAATTAACAAGAAGATTTGACGATAACTGTCAATGACGTCTAAATAGGCTTTCCTTGCAGCAATACGGTCAACCCGGTTCTCTATTGAAATAAACTTTGCATTCCAAAAGATTAGTGTAGAAAAGGAAGTAAATGAGTTGATAAGGAACGGCGGTATGTTTTCAGTTATGCCGAATGCTTTTAAGACAATGTGAAAATTCAGTTGTGACAACGCGTTGGACTTCGGTAGTTAGAGCTGGTAACACGACATACCCATTTGGCTTAAAACCACGACTGCTTAAACCACGACATTTGGCTTAAAACCATGGACACGACTTTAGATTCATGCTTTAACATCGACAAATTAATGTCGTTCTCGAACATGTCGAAATGTCGTGGAACTTGCTCCAATATCGTTTTTCCATCTGGACACCATAGTTTTTTCAACTGGAAAATTCCCACCAGATGTCCAACATCTGCGGCTCAGGCCAATACTGTTGTCCCTCTTTTCAAAAGATTTTCTTTCACCACTTAACCGTAACACTTTTCAACTTGAGACGTAAAATGATGGTTACCAATGACTCCAACTCAAATGACGGCGCGCCATAGGGTTTACAGAAAAAAACGTCTTTTGCCGACTATGAAACTCTGGCTTTCTTAACAGCACTATCACAAAGATTTCTGGTGGACCGGTCACATTAATCCTTGACGTCGTTGATAAGGTTAATTTTACCTTCTACTCTCACTTCTGCGAAAAAAAGAGGATGCTGCGCCAAAGTAAGGGATTTTCCAATCTCGTATGGAATTTTCGGTCAAAGAAAATATTCAATATTCCATAATATGATGTATTTTACCAAGATCATTCACTATAACCCAGCAGACGATATTCCTGACAGTGTGGAAGATAATGCTATTCCACTTACACAAGAGACTCCAGAAATCATCAGCCGATGCGAGGTTAGCACGCTGCCATAAAAAAAGAAAACTCGGAGCAAAAAAACGATGGTGAAGTAGTGAACAGCTTCATGACCAGGCACGACAAACATATGCATCATATCTTTAGTCCATTAATAATTTGTTCCCCCATAGCATCAAAATAATCGAATACTTCTGACTTTTAATATTATAAAATAGGCACTGGTAGATAGAAAATTAGCTGAGAGAAACGTAGAGCAAGGACCTCCGTGGCGCAGCATGTAATGCGCGAGTGTCTGGAAAGGCAAATCGTGGTTCGATCTGGCTAGGGATCTAGGTTTTGCAAATATCTCAGCATCGTTGTGGTTGATTATGAGATTGCTCACAACAAAGTACTTATGGTCTCTTCAATCTTTGAGTGTGATGTCTAATTTTAAACTCACAATTCCACTTCCAGATTACTGTAAATTTTTGTCATCGTGTCACGAATAGCTGGAATATTCCATGTTCAAATTTTCAATGCCAAAAATATAGATCTGACCGAAGTCCTTATATTTTAAATAAAAAACTACGCTATAAAAAATGACGTATTACAACATTAATACTATAAGAATGAATATGTATTCTTTCATTGACAAGCTAACATGAGTTCAATAGAGATGCTTATTCGGCTAACGTCTCCACGTCTTCATCTTCCTCGACGCCGATGATCACGACTTGATTCCGATCATCGGGTCTGAGGAAGACGAAGACGTCGAAACGTTAGCCGAATAAACATCTCTATTAAACTCATGTTAGCTTATCAACGAAAGAATGCATGTTGACTAGTCAAACGGATTTAACATAACTCGGTTCTTCAACTACAAAATGATCTGGTCAATCTCTTGTAATCCACAACGCTCGATATCTACACCTCGATAAAATTACGATAAATTGATAGACGAACGTCTTTCATGAAAAAATTCAGTACTGAGCATTTCTGGGCCTCTCTCATCACTCCACTTCTAGAACAATCTTTTTCCATTTTAAATCAGAAATCGATCAGACCATGTCGCTCGTCAGACGGAAGGGTCTCACTGATGTCAACCGCTATGTCCTCGTCACTACTCATCACACTGTTTCTTAAATTGAACACATAACTTTAGGACAGGAAGTAAAAAAATCGATATAACGAGAAGATGGTATGCTTTGTAAAATTTAAAACCTTTACAGAATACAGAGTGGACAGGGAAACACATAAATGGAGTGCCGATTTCATAACTGGCAGATAAAAAGCAAACGATCAAGGAAGAGATTAATTGATCTACATTGATCTACATTGATCTACATCACGTGGGTAAATGCCGACGTCTTTCATTCACAATGTAAATTGGTGAAAAATGTAAAAAAGAAAAGAAAGGAGCTAGCCATTAAACAGGAACAATGAGATGACATTCAGGAATAATAGTTGTTCAATTTCGTACGAAACGAAATGTACTATGCCGCACTAACAAAGAGAAAGCGCAGCAGTGAAAGCGAGTGATAATGCGGAGAAGGAAACTGAAGCAATAGTTGTCACCTCATCTGTCACTTAAACTCCTTTCCGATAGTCATCGACTAATTCGAGCGCCTGCACTACAAAAGTTTCCACTTGTCCCTGTCATCGTGCGCGAGCGTTATTAAGTGGGACTCAGCCTCTAGAAGACACTAAAACCAGCAATGTTTTCGTAGCACATCTTTTATCCAAAGTGTTTTTGACCAGATCGTAGCAATATATATAGCCAGAGATCTCAGTATACTTATGAGCCATCCGTCAGATCCTTCTAAACTAGAAGTGGTGTTCGCTTCCTAGAGTTAACTCTCATGTAGTCACATAACTGCTGCTGCCCTTGAATCAAATTGACTCCAGGATACAATCCGCATGCACATAATGGTGAACACAAGCATTTATAACCAGATACGATTAAGCGGACATGAAAGCGATTACATGAATCGAGTCAAGCAGAGAGAGGACCCACCCTCACAACAACGACTTCCGTGGAAACTGACAGATGAGAAAAATAGAAGAAACATAGACTTCCTCATTCAATAAGTAGTGTTTTCCGGCAAAAAACACATCTCAACAAACAATAAAGCAATGAAAAATTGGGGTAAACGTAACAGAGTCTAAGTGTATGTAAGAATCAACATAAAAGTTGATATTATACAAAAACCAAATACAACAAGTTAAAATGTATTCGTAATGACGAATTCCGCGTGGAGCAGTGGTCGGAGGCGCCCTGCAATACACATGTTGAATCGATCCTCATGGCCATGGCCCACCGAGCCCTCCATTCCCTCGGAGTCGGCGAATTGGTGCCAGACTTGTCTGGGATTGCAGCACTGGCTCGATAGATCGGTAGGCCACCACGAGTCATTGTAAAGGACAGATATGCATTCAATCACCTCCAAACGAATCTTAATGAAGTCGAGTGCATGGCGCATCCCTCAGGGATTAATCAACGTCGACAGCTTT